CAGTCAGCCTGAGTCACAATGAGTCAGATTTGTGTATGTCAGTCTTCTGCGGCATTGTTCTTGCTCTTTCTCCTTTGGTTGGTTCTTGGGTTCTTCGTCATGCCTTTCTGACCTTTCCAGGCATGCGGCAGAGAAGAGTACCAGCAGTAACTCAATGTCGAACTCACACTCCAATATCTGAAACACAGTACAGCACAAGATGGTTCACCACTATGTGGGGCTGGTACCTATATGTGGGAACAGCCTAACATCTAGGCTGGGCTCAGGGTTATGTACGAAATTAGTTGGTACCGGTAAAAATGTCTGAGGGACAGAAATGACATATGTTTCGGTAGCCTATCTCAGTTGGTACACCCCTGAACTGCTGAAATACAGACACCCCTCAGCTATTGAAATACACACCTGGGTTCGAACTCCATTGGAAGCAGAAAATAAGAAGAAAAAGGAAAGAGAAACGTATCGGTACTGAGGACATGGCAGAAAAATAATTAAGTGTCCGGTACCAGGCATGATGTCCAGGAACTGAGCCCTGGCCAGATTCGTAACACCAAATGCTGCGTCTGGGACCCAAATCAGTACAGTAAGGTCATCCCCAAACATAATTCCCATAGGGAAAGTGATGTGGTGTGAAATGGTTGGATCAGTTTTGTGATTGTTGATGTCTGAAATTTGAACCTCTCTCTTTGCTTGTTCTACTTTGCTTGCTTTAGGTTGATGATGTTGCACTGAATCGGAAAGTTGCTATCAAAAGCATGGAGAAATACGGTGCAAAGGGGGAGACTGCATCAGGTGGAAAAGAAGCACTTGAGAAGACAAAGATTACTAACTTTGACCTTATTCTGATGGATTTGCAGGTATGTCACGCCTTACTTTCTTTGTAACTCCTTGCCTCTCTACTCTCTCCCCTCCTTTTACTGTTGCGCTTCCTCCCATCTTTCCCTCCTCCTCTCCTCCTTTCCTCCCCTTCTCCCTTCATCCCAGCAGCAGCAGCCTGCTACCCTGTCTGCAGACTGCTTGACTTCCTCCTCTCTTTTCATACAAAAACCAGGTCCTGACTTCCTCCTCTTTTAACAATCCAAACCCATTTAGTTTTATCCCTGAGAAGTGAAAGGATTCACGCTGCAGACACCCCAGTCCCGATCCTAGAGTCCCGAGGTGTCCCAGTCCCAGGCTGTCCCAGTAGGGTAGGCCGTAGGGCCTGTAGTCCAAAACGTCGTAGGTCCGTAGGTATCGGTACCGAAGCGTCATAGGTCGGTAGGAGTCGTGCGGTACCCGACAAGAAAAGTCCTGAAGAGTCCAGTCCAGTCCGACAGTCCCAAGTCCAATTTTGCAGCATGTCCCAGGAAAGTCCGGAAGCTACCGGATGGACAAAATGTTTGCAGCAGACGGGCCACGGCCAACCGGTACCGGTCTGAAGCAAGCCAAGCAAAGCGAAGCCAGGCCGTGTCATATATTTAGCTGCTACACTGCAGCGGCTCAGCACTTGTTCAGTTGCGAGATGCGGAAGCGCTGCTGCTGCTTGTGCATTAAGGCAACTTGGGAGCTGCGCGCCCGAAGAAGAAGAGGGTGCACGCGTGTGACTCCACAGCTAGGGTAGAGCTAGAGCAGGAGGACGGCGGCCATAGCCGCCAAGGTGTGAAGCTTACCTGGGTGGGTGTATCCAGGGTGACGACCTAGGCGAGAGAGAGAGAGAGAGAGAGAGAGAGAGAGAGAGAGAGAGAGAGAGAGAGAGAGAGAGAGAGAGAGAGAGAGAGAGAGAGAG